TATAGTCAGAAGGAACCGTAGGGAGGCTGATTATTTATGAAAAAAATAAAAGAGTGGAAGACATGTAAAATGTACCACAAAACCAAACAACATTGTAGGAGTCCAGAATATATGCAACTGTACTACTCTAACAAAACAGGTTAAAGTAATTGTAAATTCACTTTTCTAAATATCAGACAGATTTATACTTACCTGCTCTGTGCAGAGAACAGCCCCAAACCTTTTCTCAGGTCCCTTGCTGGAGCTCCTGGATCCTCCTTTTCTTGGTGTGCCACCACAGGAATCTGCTTCCTATCATGGAACTCCTACGGGTTTGGTAATGAGCCACGCTGCCTGTGTCCATAGACACAGACAGCGTGGCTCGGGCCCATCTCACGTCACTGGCTTCGACTGACAGCAGCAGATGCCAATGGCTCCTGCTACCTCAGCAAAGCCTGAGAGACCAGGAAGTGAGAGTAGAGACCCGCATGCAGACGGGCACAGCGCTGGATCAAGTGCGGACTCAAGTATTGGGGGGAGGGGGCAATACTTTTACCTTAACGCAAAGAATGCATGAAGGTAAAAAAATATTTAGACTTTAGAAACACTTTAAGATCAAGTTGCATGCATATCATAGTAAGCCACAGAAAACAGCAGAACCAGCGTAAAAAGAGACTGTGTCACTATAGTAAACTTGTAAACTCAAGGCATGTTTTTAAAACAATATAAATAGTTACCTTTCCTGCTGTTACCACTGCTGAGCGCCACTTCAATCCAGAAAAATCTTAAACAGACATCCACAAGGAAGCAGCCACCTCTGAGATTATCCATCTTCTGGGCACCTCTGCAGCTAAATGGTTCCTACATGTGACTAGAGGACACAGTATTGATGTGGAGATCAACAGGGGGAACCAATGAGCTGCAAGGGTCTCAGAAGGGTGTTTCCCTGCACACGTCTGCAGTTGATTTCAGTGGTGTGGGCACAGTTCTTTTAAAAGGTATGCCTGATTTCAAAATTTACCTATAGCTACAAGGTCACTTTGAAGGAATTTGAGAAATATGGAGGCCACCATTTCTGAACTTTTCTTATGAAATGCTGATTTACACACCCATAGATTTCTTTTGTTACGCCTTCAGGCTGAGAAAAAGAAATTTACACATTCCTCCATACATGCTAAACATGGAAGCATGGGACAGACAATTCTCCTGCTGCGGCTATTTTATTCTCACAGTTGACACCACTGGCTTTCAGAATACCCAAACAGTGCCTGCATCTGATTGGAAATGAGCGCTGTTCAGCTGACAATTTTTGTCCCAGCTTCTTCCATATTTTTCAAGAATGTCGGGTGAATTGTGCTGACAGGGCCACCCACTGATTACATTTTGTCCATTTCATTAGGAACCAGTTAAAATTCACTGAGTGTAAGGCAGCTTAAAGAGTAACTCTACTTTTGACAAAAAAAAAAAAATTTTCACCTGGGTGATATACATTAGTGAGTCTAACTAACTTTGTTGCAGATTCCTACCTTTTGTTATTCTGAAGAAATAGCCGGTTTGTCTCTATCCATGTGCAAAATGAATGTGAACGGGAGTTATGGTATAATTATGAATCAGCTGCTGCACTTGCAAGGTTCTAATGAGGGAAGTGGCAATCTCCTAGATTGTAAGCTTGAAAGAGCAGGGCCCTCGAACCCCTCGTGTATTGTATTGTTACTGTATTGTCTCATGTACTGTCCCCCCACTTTATTGTACAGCGCTAAGCAAACCTATTGGCGCTATATAAACACTATATAATAATAATCCCTTTAGGCATGATCTCCCTTTGGGAGTATCTATACCAAAAATGAAATTTTTCTTGCAGGGAATGCTCAAAACCTGACTTGTAGTTTAGTGCAGACTTCTGAGAAAATCAGTGAGCCAATCAAACAAGCAGGAAATTACATTTCAGGGGGGAGTGTTCTTTATACCATATGTGTAACAGAATGCTTCCAGGTTGCCATTCTGCAATGCATTTTACAAAAAAAATGTATGGATTGAAAAAGAAAATAATTTTTAATAACATTCAATCACAATATGATTTGTGTAGCAATTGTATACGTTATATTTTTTTTATTTGCAATTTTTTCCCCACAAAAGTGGAGTTGCCCTTTAAGTCATAGACCCAGAACAAGTATGAAGATCTAGAATCAGAATGTCACTCTAATAAGCTTGTTCTGGGTTGTGGCTTCAGGTAGTAAATCCAGAAACAGCCAAACAACTCGTATTTTCAGAATCAGGTCAAACATAGCGTCCATATTTCTTAACGATGAAAAGCAAATATTTTTAGAAAGAGTAAATAAACACAAAATTCAGCATTATGGTGTCAAATCTGTGTAGCTGCCTCCACCATATTTATAGCCTCAAAGATATAATCCAACGGATTAAAATAAAATTGGTGTGGCGCTTACTGTACCACTGACTGTAAATAAATATATTAACTTGTGTGGTTTTTTTTTTTTTAAGCATAAATCTATAGTGCCATGTAAGTATGTGCCATCCATCCCATCATGTTGTGCAGTAATACATATATGAAAACAATATATAGTCTCAAAAAATCTCTGTATAAGGTGCAACTAAAGTCCAGCTTTCATAAAGTGCTTTACAAAATGGTGCTCAAGAATTATCAAGTCTTCAATGAGTGCAAATCACTCTGTGCTCCCCTCCTTGTCCACATCACTCACCAGAGTTCCGTAGCCCCCTATGCAGCATAAGTGGATCTCAAGCGCTTTTTAGGATGTGTACTGTCTCCTCTTGTAGCTCTGATGTCCCAGTAGAAGGCTATTCATTCCTAAAAGTGCTAAAGACCCACTTATGTTGCATAGGGAGTCATGGAACTCTGTGCCCCCCTCCTTGTCCACCTTACTCACCAGAGCGATTTGCATGCACTGAACACTTGAGAAGTTTTTGAGCACCAATCACTTTATGCCAATTGGACTTTAGCTGCACCCTGTTCAGAGACTTTCTATTTTTTTTTTTTTACTTTTCATCAAGAAAACAGGGTTTATTTAAAAATATGGAACTACAGAATTAGAAATGCAGAACACAAACATAATCGTGTATTCATGCTTATGTAACTTGTGCGGATATTATTTATTATAGGTACTTGTATAGTGCCATCTATACACACACACATATATTGCACATTCACATCAGTCCCTAACCCTCAAGGAGCGTACAATCTAAGGTCCCTAACTCACATGCATACATACTAGGGCCAATTTAGACAGGGACCAATTAACCTACCAGCGTGTCTTTGGAGTGTGGGAAGAAACAAAAGTTCCCAGAGGAAACCCACGCAGCAAAGGGAGAACATGCAAACTCCAGGCAGGTGGTGTTGTGGTTGGGATTCAAAACAACGACTCTAGTACTGCCAGGTGGAAGTGCTAACCATTTAGCATTGTTCTGCCAAGGATATTGCAGGTGTTAACATGAGCTCACGCCTAATAACTGACCAATATAGTCCCAGCCCACCCAACAACAGAAAGAGAAAGGATAAAATAATTTGTTAAAATATCATGTGCAAGTATCAGGTAACTGCAGCCACTTATCCCAAATTTTGTAATACTTAGATGGGCACCTTCTATGCATATATATCAGGTTTTTTTTTTTTAATATGATAACGTACAATTGACCTCTGCAACCCAATCTGACACTTGTGAGAGAGAGCCAGCATCTAGGTCCCTGCAAAAAGCTTCCAGGCAGCAAATAACGTTATATGTAAAAAGATATTTTGAAATTTTTCAGATTCCGGGGCAGAAAAAAGCCCCAGCAAACTGTGTTTAGGGTCAAGGGACAGGCGATCCCATATTATCATTGAGAAACTAAATAACTTTGGCCCAACTTTTGCCTGAATTCTAAGGCAAGACTATAAGAGATAAAAGAAAGTGCCCGGAGTCAAACATTTCAGACATATAGGACTATTATCGGGCTGAAATTTGACCATATGGACCAGAGTTAAATAGGCACAATGGATAATGTAAATTTGGGTTAAGTGATCTGCTAATATGTTGATACCAATCTACAGTTATCCAGGCTCTCTCACTATTCCTCATCATTCAACTCTTGAACGTCAGCCGCCCTGTGGATTTTGGGAGAATAGGCAACACTAGCAGCTGTGGGAGTGAGCAAAAGGTTATAAAAGATAGAAATCAGCTTGCAACCCTCATCTGCGCCTAGCACATCCAACAGGGGTGAAGTGTACGTATCGTGGGGGCATCTATAAACGAGTACATGGAGCATTTTTCAGTTGAAAGCATCCAAACAACATCAAATTCGATAGGCCAAATTCATCTTCTAATTTCTGAAAGGTCCTGATCTTGACTAGTCATCACATGATGCAGATAATATACCCCATTAGAGATCCACAGGATAAGGTCCGGGATTGTCAGTAACTCGGGGAGCTGAGTGTGAGCATGTATTACAGAAGCAGACTTGAGTACCGCCAAGTCCCAAATCCACTTATGATGATACAGCATGCCCATAAGGTTATCTCCCCCCCCATGCCAGCCAGCCCTCCGAGTCAAATACAGAAGGGATGGTGGGAAACAGAAGATGGAGCAATAAACACCAAAGTCCAATACCGTTGGTTATCAGATTTATCAATGTAATAAAAATGTGACAGTTGGGCAGCCAAATAATATAAACTCAAGTCAGGTAATGCACGCCCCCCCCCCCCCCCCCATAGTAGTGGGTTTTTGTTTTTTTCTTAGAGACTTTATATTGGTCTCATTTATGTAATAACACAGTGCACACCATAATTGGATGGATGACACATGCATACATTGCACTATAAATTTATGTTTAAAAAACCCCAACACACACAAATCATTAATTTATTGGTTTATTTACAATAAGCGCCATGCCAATTTTCAGGAAGAGGTCGGTCTATGTCAATGTATTGGTTTCAGTTAAGAAGGTTTTAAGAAATCAAGCAGACTGAATGCAGAAAGTAGGGGCACAATGATATGGATACATACCGGCTTTTATTCTAGGGCTTTAACAATGGCTTCACATGCCTCCACATTAACTAGAGCTTCTGCTTTTGCTACTTCATCTCCAGCTCTCTGCAACGCTGCCTGTGCCGTTTCCAAGTTTGACTTTGCAGTCTGTCAGAGAAAAGTTATAGAGGAACAACAGTCTTTACATCTGTGGGTAGCTATATTTACCAATAACATATGCAGGGTCTCTTTTTCTTGTGTTGCACAAAGGTGGTGCCTTGCTGAAGCTTTTATCTTCGTTGATTCTAGTAGACAGGGTCTATTTGAAAACAATATGCTCTTCAGTCTCAAGTGGCAAGGCATATGTGCTGCTGATAGCAATGACCTTTCCCAGGTAAAGGGATTTTTTTCATAGGGTAAAGCAGGCCACCACCACTGAGGTAATCAGATTTTCAACTAATTACCGCAATAATTAAATTTCAGTCCTGTTTTCTTATGCAGCAACCAACTTCAGCTATAAAGGTCAGTTTCAGGGCAGTCAGTGTCAACCTCAGCCTTCCCCCCTTGCCGTTACATCATCAATGTGTTCACTGCCCACGCCTGGTAGCTCTCCTCTCACAAGATCATTCGGGCTTTCAAATACTGGTCCTCTCCTGGTGATTTCATGAGAGGAGTGATGACAATGCTGATGTAGCAGCAAGAGGAAAAGGGGCTGAAGGAACAGTAGATTGTACAGCAACTGACTAGAATGAATATATTTAATTGGCTGCTGCATAAAAAAAACAAAAAACTACCTCAAAACAATCGATTTTTGGAATTAATTGAAAATCTGTAGGTATCAGGTACCTGCTTTACTGTGTTTAAAGATACATTTACTTTGTGGTGGATTTGCTGGACACAGAGCCACTATAAAGTGGTATAAAACCCAAAAACTACAATTTTATGTATTACTAATCCTTAAATGTGGTGGTTGATTTGTTTCTTTTTTAAGGTTTATTTCTTTTATTTTCATCTGGTGAACCAGCCAGCAATATACTTCCTGTTTTAGGGTGTCTCCACTTTGAATGGAGGAGCAACAGAGACACATTTGGAAAGCAGCATTGTCAGGAGGGTAATGTTAGATATACTAGAAAGAATTAGATGGACTTGACTAATAAACTAAAGCTGAACTCCAGTTAACACTTTTAAATCCGTTACACCAGTTTTTTTTTTTCTTCTGGAATAAAGCTTTTACATAAATAGTTTAACACTGACAGGGCTGGTTACAACAGTGTGTCTTAACCCTCTCTTATTTTTGCTGGGCAGCCTGTTCTTTTAACCTCCCTGGCAGTCGTATTATGTCAATATTTTTGAATGTCAAAGCAGTACATTGTTTTGCATGGAAATTTGTTGTTTTATATTGTAGGCCTGTAATTCTTAGGAATAACTCACTTAAATCTGTCCAAACAAGAGTCTAGTAAACATTCCGGATATGATAAAGTTTGAAACACGAAATCATAAATTATAATAATTATAAAAAATATTATAATAATAAATTTAATTCAATAATGTAATCAAACCAAAAACACTGGAATTTGAAATAGAGCGCAGAGTTCGCATATCACTGAGCTCAGTCACAGAATCGTCGCTGTCGTCACTTTTAGTATCTGATGACGAATTTGCCCACAAATCACTATTGCTCAATTCTGCAAGTGATTCTACTTCACTATCGCTGTTCTCTAGCTGGTCTAAAACCGCTTTTGACCTAAAGGGAAGCTTTTTGGATGCCATGGATGTTTCTCAAGTGTCCAGGCAAAAAGAACAGTAAAAGTGCAGACAGGGCACAGGACAAAGCACTAGGGACAAAATTTAGGGGAAATGGTTTGATACAGTAATGTAATACTAACAGATTACAATGTATTGTGTGTATGTCATGTTCTTACTTTTTTTTTTATCTCCCACCGGTTCCGGGAGATTCGCGAACACTCGCAGGGAAGGGAACCCGGAGAAAACGGATGCTGGCATGGGCCGGAGGACACAGCAGGAGGACATCGGAGGATCGCAGGAGAAGGTAAGGATCAGGGGATCGCAGTGTAAGGACTACAGTGTAATCCCGAGTGTGGCTCGGGGTTACCACTTATGGTTCTGTAAATTAACCCCGAATCACACTCGGGATTACCGCTAGGAGGGTTAAGGGATGCTGAACAATAACTGACTTACTGGTGGGATCACCAGGTGAAAAATTAAGGGAAAAAAATCCTTAAAGCAGAACTAAAGGGGAGAAATACTTGCTTTCCCAACACTCGCTCGCCAGTGCAAGCATCTTTATTGGCCAGCATGGGATGAGGTCACTCCTGCACAGGAGCTCGTCATCTAGCAAGCAAGATTGGCCTGGCCACTGTAAACTAAGCTGCATGTGCAGCTCAGTTTACAGTCTGGGAATCACTGTGAGCAGACAGGTAGGTGTGATTTATGCAATGTTTCTTATGCAATAAAGTGCCTGCCTGCTTACAGTGTATGATGGCAAACTTTTAGTTCTGCTTTAAAAAAAAAAAGTTTGGGGTTAAATTCTGCTTTATGAAACAGACTTATCCCATAAAAAGGTATTTTAAACAAGACTCAGGTATGCAGCTGTATATAAAATGAGCAGGAAACACTAAAATCTGATTGCACAATCTTCTTAAGATATGCATGCTGTTGCATTTGCCACCAACCAAACCTCTGCCCTTCAGAACACATTTCTCTACGGACAAGTGCATACTCGTAAGATCCTGACTTGGGCATCTGGATATATCAATTTGTAATCTATGAAAGGGCTGTTCAAGTTTTTGGGAACATCTTTGGTGACGAGTAAAATAATAAGTGATATATTTTAAAACAACTGTGGTGAACCCTGGCGCTATCCCATTCTCATTTACTAAGGCAGCCATAACTGCTTTTGACTGTGTGTCAAACTTGCTAACATAGGGAAAAGAGTGGCTGGCAGATATAACAATTACATTTTTCCAAAGTCCTGTTTCATAAGAAGCTGCCTCCACTGTGGACCACTTGTTCTTGTCCTGGGGTACTCAAAGCTTAATTAAAGTGTTACTAAACCCACAACAGTAAACAGGCTGTTTGATCCTGACTTCTCTGCCTCCCTCCTCTTCTTCAAATGTCCACACTGATAAGACAGACTGAACCTGTAGCCCTTCTGCACATGCTCCGTTTAGTGTGTATTGCTAGAGAGGTTTTTTTTTATTGGAATAGTGCCTGTGATCAGCACTGATCAAGAGCTCTGAGGGCAAATCAGCACTGTCCAGAGCTCAGCTGAAGTCACAAGACTGCTCTAACTGCTGATGAGCAAAGGTATTTATCAGTTTATATTTGCTAAAATAATTGAACTCCCATGTTCTGTGTACTGTGGGAGAGCGTATAGTGAATGCAGGGTCCTGGGTTTAGTAACACTTTAATATTCCCAGCTCTACTTAGCCAGAACAAGGTATGCAATCTGAGTTGTACAGACCCAGCAAGTGTCCGGAGCTGTAATGCAGCATTCTTGTCCTTGGTATGCTTTATGATTTTCCTCGTCCTCTGGTCTATTCCATGTGTGTTTTAATATTAGTATGGCTACCTCAGCAAGAAGCTAGAAGGCTTAAAGACAGCCAATCATTTAACTTATCATGCTTGATTGGTCTATGTGAATAACCTATTGCCATTCAAATGGAAACAAAATCATGCACCAACTCAAAAGCTCTCTAAATCACTTGATAGCTTACAGGCTTTTGTTTTCTATGTGTCCTAGCAGTGACTGGCATTCATCTGGTGTCAGTATGAATGGGTCCCTAAACTGAACTGAAAACTGGTGTAACCTGAATCAGCATTCATAATTTTTTCTTAATCCATGTGAAAATGACACATATTCACTATGTCCTGTGAGTAGATGCTGCTGTGTCTTCTGAACTACAGAGGACATAACAGAAGGAGTTTCAGGAGGTACAGTCCTTACAGGAACCCTTTCTTAAAGGCAGAAAGGTACCATGGGATATGTAGTCCTTAAACAAAAGCAAAAAGCAGAGGAGAAGCTGCAAAGAATCTAGGAAGTTGTAGAAAAATGGCCAGCAGACAGGCAGAATGCGCATTAATGAAGATTTTTCAAGTAAGAATATATTTGATTGTCAAATATAACTACTATTTGTACTGTTGTCATGCTGATTTTGCAAAATGAAAGTTTTTGTGGTGACCATAGAACTCCTTTAAAATTATACAGTTTGGTTCTTCTCCTCTAAATCTTATTAACCGCCTCCCGCCCGCCATATAGTAAAATGACGGACGCAAGGTGGTTCTCTCGTTCTGGGAAAACGTCATATGATGTCCTCCCATTCTAAACGCGCTGTGTGGCTCCCGGAGCGCGGCGATTGCCGGTGCTCTGTGTCTCTCGGACACAGTGTTTCACCGGTCAACGGAAAGAGCCGAAGATGTCGGCTTGGTCATGTGATCAGCTGTGTCCAATCACAGCTGATCACATGTAAATAAGGAAATGCCGGTTATCGCCATTTCCCTCCTCACGAGCTGTCATGCTGACAGCTCAAGAGGAGAGGAGAGCTGGTAATCAGCATCCCTCAAAGGGGACATCTACACTGATCATCAGGGCACTGATGATCAGCGTGCCCTGATGATCTGTGTAGCCCCAGCAGTGCCACCTGCCAGTGCCCATCAGTGCCAGCTGTCAGTGCTCATCCATGCCACCTGCCAGTGCCCATCAATGCCACATTTCAGTGCCTACCAGTGCACATCAATGCCACATATCAGTGCCCATCTCAGCTGCCTTTTAGTGCCGCCCAACAGTGCCAGTCAGTGCCGCCCAACAGTGCCAGTCAGTGCCGCCCAACAGTGCCAGTCAGTGCCGCCCAACAGTGCCAGTCAGTGCCGCCCAACAGTGCCATATGAGTGCTGCCTTTCAATGCCCATCAGTGCCACCTACCAGTGCCACCCCATCAGTGCCACCCCATCAGTGCCACCTACCAGTGCCACCCCATCAGTGCCACCTACCAGTGCCACCCCATCAGTGCCACCTACCAGTGCCACCCCATCAGTGCCACCCCATCCGTGCCACCCCATCCGTGCCACCCCATCCGTGCCACCCCATCCGTGCCACCCCATCCGTGCCACCCCATCCGTGCCACCCCATCCGTGCCACCCCATCCGTGCCACCCCATCCGTGCCACCCCATCCGTGCCACCCCATCCGTGCCACCCCATCCGTGCCACCCCATCCGTGCCACCCCATCCGTGCCACCCCATCCGTGCCCATCCGTGCACCCATCAGTGCCATCCGTGCCCACATCCGTGCCACCCATCAGTGCCCATCCGTGCCACCCATCAGTGCCCATCCGTGCCACCCATCAGTGCCCATCCGTGCCACCCATCAGTGCCCATCCGTGCCACCCATCAGTGCCCATCCGTGCCACCCATCAGTGTCCATCCGTGCCACCCATCAGTGTCCATCCGTGCCACCCATCAGTGTCCATCCGTGCCACCCATCAGTGTCCATCCGTGCCACCCATCAGTGTCCATCCGTGCCACCCATCAGTGTCCATCCGTGCCACCCATCAGTGTCCATCCGTGCCACCCATCAGTGTCCATCCGTGCCACCCATCAGTGTCCATCCGTGCCACCCATCAGTGTCCATCCGTGCCACCCATCAGTGTCCATCCGTGCCACCCATCAGTGTCCATCCGTGCCACCCATCAGTGTCCATCCGTGCAGCCTCATTAGTGCACATCAGTGAAGGAGAAAAATCCCTTGTGTACAAAATTTTATAACAAAAACTAAGGAAAAGCTTTTTTTTTTTTTTTTTTCAAAATTTTCAGTGGTTTTTGGTTTAAGAAAAAAAAAAACAAAAACCCAGAGGTGATTAAATACCCCCAAAATAAAGCTCTGTCACAAAAAAAATGATAAAAATGATAAAAATGTCATATGGGTACAGTGTTACATGACCACGCAATTGTCATTCAAAGTGTGACAGCGCTGAAAGCTTGAAATTGGCCTGGGCAGGAAGGAGGTATAAGTGCCCTGTAGGCTAGTGGTTAAGGCTGCATAACCTGTCTCCCTGTCTGCCAGAAAAGTGTTTGATCATTTATCCATGTAATAGCACAGCTTTGTACTTACACTTGGATCCAACATGTCCAGCTTTACTGCTTCCTCAGCCAGCAACTGTACAGAGGAATCTACATTCACTGTCACAGACCCGCTGCTCACTAAAAGACAAAAGAACAGAATGATGCAGTTATTACACTCCTATATGTCTTATGCTTCAACTCATCTTTCATTTCACTGTCATTATGGTACTTTCAGTGATCAGTGCTTTTTTAAATCTGTCTATATAGGTGTAGTCTTGGGTATTTTAGATACCACGTTCATGGACAAAAGTTTGATCGAGAACCTTCCAGACTTGAATTATGGTATCTTTAACTTACATTACAAAGCCGGTTTTCCTCTCTACTTGTATTAGCTGTATACAGACCCCAACTTGACTGATTATAGCAATCTAATTGATGCACTGGTTAATTTTGCTTTTATGGTACAGTTGATACTAATGTAACACAAACAGGAGCATATATTATATGTAATCGTATAGGGAAAATAATTTTAGGGTCACTTAAAAAAATAAAAATATCCCTCGCACCCTGGGTGCTTTTAATGTAAGGAGAAATCTGGTTAAATATTTGGATAGTTCCATAACACCCATGGGCAAAGTTTTGAATAGATTCTCTGTCTTAAATCAGAAATTGTAATGCTTTAAAGCCTTTTGGATAGGATGAAAGGCATGATCAGTACTGATACTTTAGGACCTACATAAGGCAAGTTCGTTCTTCTAGGAGCTAAAGCTGGCCTTACATGGTTAGTTTTGATTTTCATCCTGCAGGTGTAGGCTAAACAAAAAGGAAAAAAAACAAAACAAAAAAAAAAAAAAAACCACACTAACAGATTCCATCATCCACACAAACAAGGTGGATAAAAGAGAATGTTAGTGTTTTCACTGTAGAAGGGCCGGGATGTCAAAAAAACAAATACATAGTCACCTATATGGCTGCAGCATCGGTCCAGTGCTGCAGCTGCCCCTTGCCATCTTAAGACTGAGAACTAAGCAATCACATGGCCTCTGATCGCTCAATTCTTGGTCTTCACTGAGCAAAAGAGCAGTGAGCATCCCATATACTAAGGCATGTCAGCACAAGCCTGATCATTGGGGGGAAAGCAGGTGGACTTTCAGCATAGCTAGAGAACTGACCACGCTGTGCTCTCATGCATATTGTGGTCAGTTTTTAATAGGAAGACAGAGGGACTTGCAAGAACACCAGGTATTCACACAAAGGAAGCAATACAAAGAGAACAGAATACTTTTTTATACAAGTACATGGTACAGCAGGGCATATCAAGAATGTGAAATGTTGGGTTTACATTAGGGATGCACAGATACCCTTTTTTGATTGGCGACTAGTACCAATACTTTCGGTGCAGTACTCGCCAACACCGAGTACCAATGCGTACAATTTGCAATTGATACAAAGTATGGACGCAAATTGCACCACAAAGAATAGTATGTGATTTGAACAGCAATGCAATTCCTGCCAAAAATGGCATGCCATTTCCCCACTGCTCCTGTGTGAACCCAGGCTTGTCATAGCCTGAGTTTACACAGGAGTGGTGCGGGAAACCTCCCTGCACTGATCCCATGCTGTCACAGAAGAAAAAGCTGGGGATTTGAAATCCCTGTAGCTTTCTGTCCTCTCAGTGCAGGGATGACAGTATGGGCTAGACTGCTTTGGAATGGTCAGCACTGCACCAATCAGAAGCAGTCTAGCCTGTGCTGTCATCCCTGCAAGCAGAGGAGAGATTTCCGCTTCACAAGTCTGGGGATTTTAAAAATCACATTCCTATTCAAATTGCATGCTATTCCTTTCAGTGCAATTTGCATCCATACATTTTTTATTGATGCAAATCACAAAGCAAAGTATCGTTTTCAGGTATCGGAAGCATTTTCATGAGTACTCGTACTTGTGAAAATACTCAATATTGGCACCGATATCTGTATCAGTGCACCCCTAGTTTTGGAAGGTACCCACATCCATTAGTCGGAATGGAAGTACTCCCCCACCCTACCCTGCCCCCTTCTGAGACATGTCACACACAGCAGTGTGATTACAGTGACACACGCGCGCGCACACACGTAAAACACTCCCAGCACACAGTTAACCCTTTGATCGCCCCTCATGTTAACCCCTTCCTGCCCAGTTCCATTAGTACAGTGTCAGTGCTCTTTTTTTTTTTTTAGCACTGATCACTGTATTGGTGTCACTGGGGATGTCAGTGACACCAAGTCAGTTCCCGCCAGTGTCAGAATGTCCGCCACAGTCCCACTATAAGTCACTTATCACCGCCATTACTAGTAAAAATAAGCAAAAAAAAAAAAAAAAAATCCCAGTATATATACCATCATTTGTAAACGCTATAACTTTCACTCAAACCAATTAATTTACACGTATTGGGGTTTTTTTTTTTTTTTTTTTTTTTTTTTAGCAAAGACATGTAGCAGAATACATTTTGGCATAAACTTATGATGAAATTTGCTTTTTGAAATTTTTTACTGGGCATGTTCAATAACAAAAAGTCAAAAAGAGTTTTTTTTTCTCAAATTGTCAAGTTTTTTTTTTGTATAGCTCAAAAAAACAAAAAAAAAAAAAAAAAAAAAAAAAAAAAAAAAAAACACACAGGCGATCAAATACCACCGAAAGAAAGCTCTATTAGTGGAAAAAAAAAAAAAAAAGGACATACATTTTATTTGGGAACAGCTTTGCATGACCGTGCAATTGTCAGTTAAAGCAATGCAGCGCCGTAATGAAAAAAAAAATGGCCTGGTCAGGAAGGGCAGTGGGTGGGGATAAATCATCTGGAGGACAAGTGGTTAATATATCTGAAACGTCAATAAAGCTGCAAGAAAGTCCCCTGCACTTCAAGGGATAAATGCTCATTTAAATCTAGGGGGACAAGGGAAAAGCAGTTTTGCCCACCTGATCATCTCTACAACCGTGGGTTCTTCCCACGGAAATAGAGGCTGTCAGATAAGTTCTGACAGCCTCTATTTCCCTGCACCCTAGCAGTCAGATGCCCTTGCCAAACTGCCCTGCCATGGATGAATTTTGGACCTTTCCAACAAGCACAGATGTGACACTTTTAGGTAGTGTCAGTAATTGGCATAAATTCCGAATGCCTAAACAGCCAACAGAATGTGCTGGACTGTAGGACAGGGCGGCCATGCTTTGGCACCATTTAGAAAGTGCCAAGCCTTGCTTGTCAGAACAGTCTTAGATTTCACCATGACAAGAAGGTTTGAAAGGCTGCTACAGGTGATGTGCAGGCACCCAAAACCTGTAGCAGGGTTTCATTTTTGTCTCCCTGATCGAGTATCTTTAAAGTAAAAAGAAGGAAGGAAGAAGAACTCACTAGGAGGCCTAGTCTTTTTAAAAGTGATATTTCAGTTTTGTATCATGACAGATAAGTTGCATGACATGTTGAATACTATACTCAAGGCTTTTTGGTTTTTTTTTTTTCAGCGGTGCAGTTTCGGCACTTCCAGCACTGAATGTATGTAACGGCAAGGGTGGTGGGGTGTAATGCAGGGCCCACTGATGCCGGCTGCTGGGCGATTTATCGTCGCTGGAGGGGATCTATTTTTGAGAGGAGGGTGTCTATTGATGCTGGGAAGGTATGCTGTTGATAGTTGCAGATCTATTGTTGCTGGGGGTCTTATGTTGCTGTGGTCAATTGTTGCTGGGAGGGATCTACTGTTAAGGGAGGGGTCTATCGTTGCTAGCTGCTGGAGGGTTTATTGATGCTGGCTGTGGAGAGATCTACTGATGCTGCCAGAGGACTATTGCTGCTGGTGGAGGGTATTTTTGTTTGCAGGTGGTCCTGGCTACAAGGGATCGTTTTACTACTTTTATTGTTATTATTCCATACAAATGGATTCCTAGTTTTGTATTCTCTAAAAGGGTGGTACTGGGAGGTAGATAAGGGGTGGAAAGCAGGGACGGAGACAGGGTGATTTGGAAAGGGAGAGTTCCTGCACCTATTCTCTGAGAAAAAAAGCCCAGACTATACTTGTGTATTTCATGGGTTGAAATTTGAGTGTTGTTCCTTTTAGACACACTTTACATGCCTTAAAGTGTTACTAAACCCACAACAGTAAAATCAGTCTGTATATGCAGTAAAGCATGCTTGTTATACTCACTGTGGAACCTAAGGGGTTAATCCTCTGCACTGTGTAAAAAGGCTGTTTGATCTGTTCTCCTCTGCACCTCCTCTTGTTCAAATGCCCACGCTGATGAACCCTTGCCCTTCTGCACATGCTCAGCTTAGTGTGTATTGCTAGAGTTTGTTTTTTTTTTCTTGGGAGAGTGCATGTGATCAGCACAGAGCCATTCAGCACTGTCCAGACAGAGGTCAGGGGATTTCCATCCTCCTAGAGAAAACGCCTACAAGCTTTAACCAGTGCTCTGCTGAAGTCACGAGACTGCTCTAACTGCTGATGAGAAAAGGTATTTAGCAGTTTCTATTTACTAAAATAATTGCACTTCAATGTTCTGTGTACTGTGGGACAGCGGATATAGTGAATGCAGGGTCCTGGGTTTAGTAACTTTAATTTTTCATCCCATATAAATCCCATAAAAAGTGTTGCTGAAAAAACACGGCGAGATGTTTTTTTTTGTTTTTTTTTTTACGCTGAATCCACAACTACTAAAAACAGCAGACTACTCAGAAACTGCAGGGGTAAGACATTACCATTGTTACAGTTCCACTGTATCTATTACAACGGTAAATGATGGCGCCACATACTTCAATAGATTTTAACAAAGAACAAGTGGGAGACTGAACTGTAAAGCGAGTGACACCTTCTTAATGGCCTGTGCAAATCTTGCTACCGAAATATAAAGATTATTTGACACAACAGGTTCCAAACTCTGGTACATAACATGAGCATTTATCTATTCACCCTCCTTCCTGGTCAGGCCATTTTTTGTGATACGGCGCTGCGTTACTTTAACTGACAATTGCGTGGTCATGAACGCTGTGCATAAATGTCCTTTTTTACCCACAAATAAATCTTTTTTTAGTGGTATATGATCACCTCTGCACTTAATTTTTTGCTCTATAATCAAAAAAAGACCGACAATTTTGAAAAGAAAAAATATATACACACTTTTTTGCTATAAAACATATCCAATAAAAAAAAAAAATCTGAATTTCTTCATAAATTTAGGCCAAAATGTATTCTGCTACGTCTTTGCTAAAAAAAAAAAAAAAAATAAATCCCAATACGTGTAAATTACTTGGTTTACATGAAAGTAATAGTGACTACAAATGGCGGCATGTATACTGGAATTTTTATCTATTGTTTGAATACTAGTAATGGTGGCAATTAGCAACTTATAGTAGACCTGTGGTGGGTATTCTGACACTGAGTGGGAACTGACTAACTGCCACTGACATCCCCAGTGACACTAATACAATGATCAGTGCTAATAAAAAGCACTGACTGTATTAATGACACTGGGCAGGAAGGGGTTAATATATGGGGTGATCAAAGGGTTAACTGTGTGCTGTATGTGTTTTACATAATGTACTGTGTGCTTTACTACTGAGACATGCTGCTTTGTAAATCTCTGCTGTGCAGGGAAATACAAAGCAGCATGTCCTTGCTGACAGGAGAGAGACCTGTGTTGTTTACACACAGATCTCTCCCGTTAGCTTTACGATTACCGAGTGTCAGCTGGGACCCGGTGGTTGACATCCCTAGCTTACAATAGTAGTGCGGATAGGGAGGCACGCGCGCCCCCTACCCGAGACTGCAAATCACAAATATATATACGTGATTTTGTGCAGCCTTGCCACCCTGTAGCAGTACTTTTACTATAGGGCAGTGGGAAAGTTGTAAAAGCAGAACCAAGCGGTTTGATTTAACCGTTTGCTAAAACAGTAAAATTCAAAGTAGGCCGTGAATTCTAATGATCAGCTTCTTGTGCTCTTAAATGAACTGTCAAGCCATCAAATGCTTGGTATCATAACTGATCACATGTGCAGAACCATGGCAACCGCAGATCAAACAGAGGCAGCTTCCTCAGCTTTAAAAGGACAGGAATTAGTTCTACTTTTAGGCTAGGTTCACATATGTGCGGGTGTGGCTGCGGATCCGCGCACAAATCCGTGCAGTCGCACCACCCGCACAGAGGAATGCGGACCCCCGGGTGGATGCCATTAGTTCTAATGGCATGCCTCCCGCACTGGAAAATGCAACCGTACTGGGAACTGAGGTTCCCCTGCGGGCTGCGTTTTCAACAGAAGTCAAGGGACTTCTTCTCTACGTGTCACGGGAGTCCATTCAAATGAATGGGCTCTCGTGCACGTGCAAAATGTGGCCTGCACAGCTGCATATATGTGAACCAAGGGTTACTACATACTTCATTAAGTAGTGCTTTGTATCTCAGAGACACTCACCGAAGTACTTGGTTGCAGATCCATTCTCATCAAACACTGTGACAAGTCCAGGTCTGAGAACTTGCAATGTTGGGACATGACTTGCTAGGATACCAAACATTCCCGTAGTTGTAGGAACATCCACTTGTTTCACGTTAGCGTTACTGTAAAAGATCTATGCCAGGAGAGACTAGTTTTAGCAAAGTGTTTTATTTACTTTCATGCATTACAGAAAAAAAAGTTAACTTGTACTTTTTACAAACTCTCCAAGAAATTGATTAAAATTAGAGAATGGCTATGTCTATCTAAAACCGAGCAGCACACAGACCAAGCAAAATGGCCATAGCTGATCTGAAAAACACCAATCACCCACCCACTTCACAGATGGATTACCATTGGGGGCTAACAAGGTCAATTTACTGATATGTATGGCATATTTGCTATGGATGTATTCAGTGTATCAAAAATACAAAACAATGTAGTATGACCTTTCAGGGGTAACAAGAAAGTCATATTTTCCTCATGAACGGGACCTAGCAACAGATATATATATTTTTGTGTTTAGTGCACCCTAACCAATGTGTGGGTGTAACACTTCCAGGTTATATTTTACCTCTCACAAAGATGACTATACTTCCTCCGACAATGCCTTTATCTGCTTTGTTCTCTAGGATGGAGCTATCTTTGTTAGGGCATTAACCAGGTGCCAGCATCTATTTCTTGGACTGAGATACCAAAAATGATGGTCACATACATCCTGGTGCTAGTGTAGTTTCTTGGCTGCCCTGTTGTGCTGCCTCTCAACTTGTGACTTGCTACAAAGTTGTTGCTGCAGTCTGATCATTGGAGGAGAGAAAATGCTTCCTGCCTGCTGCCAACTAATATCAATTTAATCCAGAACAATTCACTCAGCTGGAGCTCAAGGATGTTCTTTCAATTGTTTTTTTTTTAATCATCTTGTTGCTATACATTGTGACACTAAGAACATAAACTTGCAAACTTGTGAAATGACTAAAAGGTCCAGTTTAAATAAAGTGCATTGCTTCAAGTGTATACCCTGCCAAAACCTTTCTTGGCTAGAAAATAGAAGGGTTAGAGCCTGTCAAGCTTTTACGGTTATGCCAGATTCAATTAGAGAGATTCACAATTTTCTGTGCTGCTGACAATGTTTACCCAGACAAGAGAAGAACTCTCCAAGAGCAACAAAGAAACCAAAATGCTTAAAATGGTTGTAAACCTCAGACTAATGATGCACCAATATATGGGCCACCAAAAATTATTGGCCAAAAATAAAGTTATAGGTGTTTGCTGAAAGGAAAAAAAAAAAAAAAAAAAGTGCCGATAATGATAATTGACATCAAAGCAAAATTTCATCCCACTGACTTGAGTGCAAAAATGCCTCTATTTAAAAGAGAAGTAGAACTTACCCCCCCCCCCCCCAATTATACTTACCTAGGTGGATGCAACACCTGTCCCATACTGCATCTGTCCCCCGCCGGCTCTAAAGGTGAGAATTCAGCAAGCACACGACCACTGAGTTCTCTCCGCTCTGAGCAGAGAGCGGGATTGTCAGTCTGTCTGCTCTGTCCCCCCAGAGCTCACCGAAGTGCTGGACTGTGGAGGGGGAGGGAGTGGCTGGCCCAGGCGCCGCTCCAGACTCTGGGGTGGATCCTAACTTTAAAGTTGGGCTCTTTCCCCAGCCTGGACCAGCCGACTTTAGTCCGCTGTCAGCTGAAAACGAGTCACAGGAGTGCAGAACGAACTGCACTCCTATAATCCACAGAAGTACAGCCAAAAGAGCTTTTTTCATTTTAAATATACTTCATTTTTTTGTCCAATTTTTTTTGTATATTACTTTCAATAAAAGTTAGGTTATGTTACTGGATTGTATTTTTTTTTAATTCATATTCATTTAAATTCATGATATGAATTACCATGTGCCTACTGGGCACTTTTACCCCCGTCGTGCCCAGGTACATTTTCAGCTTTCAGCGCTCTCACACTTTGAATGACAATTGCGCGGTCATGCAACACTGCAACAATAGGAAATTTTTATCATTTTTTTCCCCACAGTGCAATTTCAGCTCCCTGCACCCCTTTCTTCTGAACGCTCAGACAAGCTTTATAAATCCAGCACTAGAGAAGAGAAGACTGCAGAAAGACAGGTACAATTTATGTAGGAGGATTTGTTTAATCTCTTTATTATTTGAGGCCAGTCACTTCACTGGGTCACCATAACCCATAGGGGTCAATTCACTAAGAGTTAAATAACTGAAAAAAATTTGGTAAAAAATAATGCATATGGTAATTTTTTGCAAATGTGCAATTCACTAAGAATTTTGCGGTAAATAACTCCTGCGGTAAAATATCTGTATTGTGGTAATTACCGCATATTTTCATGCGGTAATTTATCACACTGCAGTTAGTTGTGAAGGAAGCCAGCCGTGGTGGCCTTAACAACAGAGAACTCAAACGTTATCAGCTGACTGAAAACAAACCATGCAAGCAATTACAAATGATGAAAAAAAAACAGTGTGCGGCTCCCCCTCCCATCCGTACCAGGCCCTGTGGGTCTGGAATGGATTTTGGGGGAACCCCACACCAAAATAATTTTTTTTAAAATGGCATGAGGGTCCCCTCACAATCCTAAGGGATTATGGGTCTGGTATGGATCTGGGAGGGACCCACACTGTTTTTTTAAAAAAATACCACATGCGATATACCGCCAGCAAAACCCTGGTGATAAATATAGTTTCTTTTGTACTTTATGTCGTGTTTGTGAACTGGACTTAACAGCTTACCTCATGATTTTTTGTGGCATTTAGTGACACATTTTTAATTTTGCGTTAAATACAGCAGAAGCATTATTTATTTGTGAATTGAACATTTTGTTACCGCATTTGATAATTTATCCAAATGAGTCACGTGATAGTGTTATCGCATGCGGTAACCTTTAGTGAACTGACCCCCTATGTCTCTTCTGCAATAAAATAAACTTCTGTGTGCTCTCAGTCTTCAGTACAATAAAATAGTGGGGATTTTGCCATCTCATGCCAATCATTCAAGACAGTCGAAGACCCTGTCCCAAGAAGTGGTAAAAAGAAGATGCATCAGACCACTGGAGCAGATTTAAAGTGGCGCTAAAGGCTCAAGGTTTTTTACCTTCATGCATTCTATACATGAAGATAAAAAACCTCTGTGCAGCATCCCCCCCTCCCCAGCCTACCCCCTAATACTTACCCTCTCGATCCAGTGATGTGCACTGGAGTCTCTGCTATCCTGAATCCCCCTCTCGATCCAGTGATGTGCACTGGAGTCACTGCTATCCCTGGACTCCCTCTTCTCATTGGCTGAGAAAGAAGCAGGAGCCAATGGCTCCCACTGCTCTCAGTCACAGCCAGTGAGCAAATGAGAAGAGAGAGGGGGCAGGGTCGACCTGCGGCTCTGTGTGTGAATGGACAGAGAGCAGTGGGTGCCCCCATAGCAAGCTGCTTTCTGTGGGGGCATCCGACAGGAGGGAGGGGCCAGGAGTGCTGGCGGGGGACCCGAGAAGAGGAGGATCTGGGTGCTCTGTGCAAAACTACTACACACAGCAGGTAAGTATAGACATGTTTGTTATTAAAACAAAAAAATAAGCCTTCAGAATGACTAAGTATTATGAACTTTAGCTCCGCATTTAGGACCTAACTTCCTGAAAACACACATCCTGCTTGCAGTGCCATTATTCCTTAATGACACACTAAGCATGGCTACCAGTCGTGAGTTGTCATATCGCGTGAAAAATTTGCAAAAACAGTACCAAAATATGAGAGGCTCAGTGCCAAAAAAGGTGCAGGAACTACTTTGGCATGTTAGCCGTGCACAGGGCAGCCCATTCAAGTGAATTGGCTGCCCTAAGCTATCACAAAAAAAAAGCATGAAAACTCTGTAGTTCTCGGTAAACAGAAGAGCAAGATTTAGGTAAAAAAAGCTACACAAACTAAACTGATATCTTGGTATTTAGGTCTGGGCTGGATAGCAGAAACAAAGCAAACTGCATACCTGGACTACCAAACTAAATCTGGCCATCCACCGATCAAAATCCTGATGGTTCAGCAGGGACCAAGTGTGTGGCTATCCCTACGTGACAGAAGCCGATCACTTGATTGACGCCTGTTGATAGGACAATTGGAAAATGTTTCATCGATCAGCAGCTGCAGCCACTGTTTTTTTTTTTCTTGCTGAGTGCTGGTCTCTGTACATTGTGTTTACTCCTGGTACCCCCTCACCACCATTCACTGGTGGTCAAGGATGCCATCAGAGCTGACAAGCCACTAGCAACCAGTGAGGCTGACAGTGAGTGGAGCCTGAGAGACTAGTTACACATCATGGCAGCTCTTTCCTTGTTGATGACAGCAGACAGTGGGTTGATTTTATAGCTAATAACAGGCTCTCTATTTGCTATGGAACCTCCCACTGCCTGCTGTCAATCACAAAGAAAGCAGACTTGATGGGTAAACAGTGTCTCTGAATCCTTGTTAGGGTTCATCCACCCATATACAAACTCTTCAGCCACTGCGATGTCTGTGCAACAGCTGCAGCCACAGGGAGGGAGCTAACCTGCACCAAGGACAGATTACCCTTATGGACACTCTGAATTCAACATGCCACCAAATGACAAATGTTGGTGCTTTCTCCAGAAGAACATGTGACCTCCTCCCATGTGACAGTGCACATGTCTAGCAGCCAATTACTAGGTCCAAGCACTGTTGCATGACAGAGTGAACACCACCACTCCCCCTAGTATCTAAAATAAGCCAACCCTGGGGATTTTGGTTCCGGCCATGGTGACCCAAGATGACCTAATTGTTTTGCAGTCACCTATCAGTTCCTGTAACAGCAACTTTGTTGAAGCATTTAACCTTTTCACTGCCACCCCAACTCTTACAGGGGATGGCAGCACCAGTGTATATAAATACTGGAAGCTGCCACAGAGTTTGTTCACATTTTTACTACTAGCTGTCAGCTTTTAAGAGATTTTAAAAGAAGGTGTTGCCACCCTTGCCTGAACCACCCCTCACCATGTGACCTGGGCTTACCTGGCCCTCCTGGGTGCCCGGGACCATCATGATGAAGATTCATCTGTTCACTGATCTCCCTCGTGAAGCCAGCACTCTCCTTAAGAACCATGTTTTA